AACTGAAACATAATTATTTAATATTAAATAGAGGAATAAATGTATGCCCAATATGGCGGGTGGTTGTGTATAATCATGGCATCGTCCATGTTATCTTTAGTTTATTAGAATATTTTGGTGTTGCCTGCAGGTGTTATACAACAATTTGACAAATGTCTGAAATGAAATACCTACAGAGTCGAATGATTTACCCAGAATTTGTACCAGATCTATATCTTCTGTTCGAACAGTTGATAAAACCTTTTGAACCAAAAAGCATGCGTTGTTTGTCTTAAAACGTTGGTTATGGCATTTTAACAAAAATATGTAAGCAGGTTATGGTAAAGTTGTATATATTTAGCATATGTACAGCCTTTAACAGTTACTAAACAAAAGTTGTATAAGTGCTTCCGTTGGGAGCAATTTGTTGGCTAAAGTAGTAAATTGCATAGCAAAACAACAAGGCTCGGGTTGGTTTTATAAACGTTACCATGGATGCCACAACACAACCATTTTGACTAACGTGCAAATATGCCGTATAAAATACTCGTAGTTGTATAAACATTTATGCAACAGTTAAAAATTTGCCCTATAAGGTGTTGTATAACTATGCTATAAGAATATTTTAACCACCTCATTTTAGAGCAAATATGTTGCAGAAAGCAAATTTGCATTCCACACAACATTAAGCCAGCATTTTGGTGTTCAGGCAACAACAGTAGAGAGCTTTTATGGCTGAACGGTTCTTTTACCAAAAGCTTATACCACAACTTTGCTAGTTGGGTACTGTTCGATAAATGGTTCTACGTGAAATGTTTTCATTCTGGAATATTCGACAGATTTCAGCTTTGGATACCCCCCAACCAACTTGTAGATACTTTTTCTTATTCCTGATTTATACGACATCTTAAAGCGAAAACTTCAAAATAAATAAATGTCAACTGACAGTAAAGTAAATAAACAAACTTTTGTTATCAAAGGCAACTTGATATTATTTTGTGTTTGTTAAAATATATAATATATATTATAATTTTGTGCCAAAACTTTTAGGGCATACGTTACTACTAAAAAACATTTTGGACAAACCAGTAATATAGCAAATATGTATGTCTGGTCTCAGGTAGGACAACGAATGAAAGCTGAACAACACTACTCCATTCAGGGTATAAGGTTTATCGAAATAATACAACACAAGTGTCCTCTATTAACAGAATAAATCACTACGAAAGGGAAAACAACAATCTGACTATTGGAACTGTATCCCAGTTCACATTGCCAGCCGGCTCACCATAGTGGCCGCACGATGCCGCCGATTCTGCTGCTAGAGTAGATACGGTGTACTCACCATTCAACAAACGATTCTAGTAATAGATGACACTTTGTGCTGCCTTATTTCGAAGAACCCTTTTGCTTGGAGTGATCCGTGGGACATGAAACAATGCTCGGAGCGATAGAAACATTTTCTGTAATTTGCTTACAAAAAGTTTAAACAAATTAGCTCAGCCTTACCGACTGGCAAATTTTATAAACTTCTTTCGCGAATACAAGGTTGCTGCCTCGTCTAATATCCAGAATAATATTTTTCGCGTTCCGGACATTGTTTTTCATCAGGTTTTCTGGATCATTCTAGACAGAAAAAGTCTTTAGTACTATTTCTGTAAAGTTGAGCGATGTGATGCCAGAAAAATCCTAAAATGGTCATTTTTAATGCTTAAAGGATCCGTTAAGAATCATTATTTTTGAGGTTGCAAAGTGTTTAAGTCAAAGTTCAAAACTTCCTGTACAAGATTATTTTAGGCATAGTTTATTTTAAAGCGAATTTTGACCTTATTTGTTAACCCAAAAATGGCGAACTTTAGATTTTCAAAAATAGACGCGGCCTATCGGGAAGATGACAGCCTTCGCGCGCCAGACTCTGTGTGTGTGGTTCAGCACCGTTGCTAGATAGTCGATAGTTAGGACAGAGAAAAACTAAAGGTAACGTTATCAAATGTGTGGGGAGTATCAGGTATGGACTAATTGTATAGGCCGGGTTGGCTGACTCGATTTATTTAATTTTATTGTTATACATGGCTGTGGCCAGCTCAGAGGTACTAACTTGTGCCAAACATAATCATTTATAGCTGATCATCGCCCTGGGCAACTTCTCGTCAACGCATGCATCTTCCACGTTTATAGGTAATTGTCAGTGTGACATCTTGCTTGGCATGTGAGTTTTCTTTTTGATGATCTTCGATATGATAGTGATAATAATAGTTATTGGAGTATTAATACATAATCGAATAAAAATATAAGTAAATAATAGAATACAAAAAATAATACGTCAAAAGGCTGGGGATTGATAGCCATTTTTCAGCCCTGCCCTCGTAGCTAATGTAAAATAAAATTAAGTGCAGTACCTACCATATCCTAATATCAAAATTCATATACATCACATGTATGAGTAAATAATAATAGTAAGAATGAGATGTATTCAAATACTTTTAGATTCAGTAAATTGTAACAGCATTTTTTTGGATTTTGTTTTGATGCTGTGAATGGATGTTAGTTCGAAAATTCTTGGGTATTAATTTAGTATGCTAGGCGCTAAGTAACAGAAACAATGTTTAAATTTTCTCGAAGGGTGAATGTATTCTCTCCAAAGTATCAAGAAGGTATCTAGAGACTCATATTGTCATACCTAATAATGTTGAAGCTTGCATGAAAGAAGCTACAGTCAAGAAAACAATGCATAAAAGGAAAAATCCAACACCTTGGTTCTCGCAGACGTCCAAGGATTCTAAATTCAAAAGAGACTGCAATATTATAAAAAGTTTATCATTACTGGGCATGAAAATGACTAGAATACACAAGATCAAGAAACCAATCTGTAGCAGTTCTACGACATGAAAAGAAAAAATATTACAATGCCAAAATTGATCAGAGTAAAAATAATAGCAAACAGATGTGGAAAACGTTAAAAAACATTGTTTCTCCTATTAGAACAAATTCATTATCTAAAATGAAGTTCGAAGATGGGGTAATAATAAATGAAGAAATAATAGCAGAGCGAATATTTCATAGAGAGTGTCAATGACACTGTGGGATCGATTATTGACGGGGATCCCAACCTATGTCCCATTAGATCAGATTATAATGCATCATTCAGTGAGTTTAGAAAAATAAACATCAATCGTCTCAAGAAGATTATATATAAAATTAAATCAAATCAAAATAGAGTGAGATTTTTTCTAAAAGTGTGCCTAATTAATGTTTTGATATTATTGGAGCAAGAATATTAATCCTGATAAATTACTGTTTAAAGTATAGCGAATTTCCAACAAAACTGAAGTGATCTACCATAACTCTTGTTTCGAAAGTTAAGAATTCTGAGTTGTACACCGATATTCGGTCAATAAGTGTTCTGCCAGATGTTGAAAAAGTCTTTGAAGAAATTATTTACGAACAGATAATCGAAATTATTGAGAAAAATAAAATTTTAACCAAATTTTAAGCTGGATTCATGAAGAAACACTCAAGTGAAACGGCAATACAAATGGTTTTAAAGGACTGGATGAGATGTATGGATAATAGAAAATATACAGTAACAGTGTTTTTGGACTTCAAAAGGGCGATTGAGACTATTGACAGGGATAAATTACTTACAAAATTGCATCACTACGGATTTAAAGGATCTGTATTCAAAATTCTACAAAACTACTTAATTGTCGAAAAGCCAAAATTGGATCTACACTATCAAGCTCAAAAATATTAGGTACTGTAGGTGTACCACAAGGTAGTAAACCAGGTCCACTACTATTTATTTTGTACATTAATGACATTTGTAATATTTTAGATTAATGTAAAATTCATATTTTTGCAGGTGATCGATTCATATATATATATCAGATGAAAATATAGACACAGCTTTAAAAATGCTAAATTCTGACTTGGAAAAAATCATAAATTGCTTAAATGTAAATAAATTAGAATTGAATACTTCTAAAACAAAATGTATGCTTATAGGAAAATACCTAAATGAAAATACAGTCACAGCTAGGATAAATGGTGAAATGATTAAAAATGTTGAATCAATTAAATATTTAGATATATATATATATTGATAGTAAACTAAAGTTTGACATTATTTCAAAAATTAACACAAAAAACCAAATTACTTTTATAGGGCTTCTCATAGTCTTGGTACATATTCCAAAAAATAGTTTATAATACAATATTATTCTACCGCATTTACTATATTATTGTTCAACTATCTTGTTCACTGCCAATAAAGCTGTATTCTCAAAATTACAAGTGCAAAATAAGAATAATATTGAACAAAAATGAAATCTATGTTACAAGAATTGTCTTATCATATTTGATTCTTATTTTTATATTTAAAATATTTAAAATAAGAAATCATCTTTTGCCACAACATTTACATGGAATTGAATAGTCATTACCATAATTATTATACAAGAGGAAATAAAAATTTTCATTTACAAAATTGCAAGAATAATACGTTACATATAACTAGCAAATCAATACTCCAGTAAGGAGTACTTGAATTTAATAAACTAAATAATGATATTTCGTGGACAGTGAAAACAATTACAGATGCAAATTTTGTTTTTGATAAATGTCTGTATGTTATGTAATTGTTTAGTTTTTTAAAAGAATGTTATTGTAGCAATCATGCTAAATAAATCTTAAATAAACAAGCAAACCTTTAATCGCCCGGTTCTCTATACTCGTAAAGTCATGTAGCTTAGCAATATTCATTCACTTTTATCCTGCCATAATAATACTATTGACTTAATGAATCCAGAATTTGGAACTCAATTTGTTCAGACTTCGATTTTTGCACTTTGCACTGCCTTACATAGGTAAAAGGTAGAATGGATCACTAGACATTTTCTATAGTTGAAATATCTATTAACTGTTGACTAATGGACTCTTAAGGACTTACTTGAAAGACCAAAGTCCGTAGCTCAACTATTACAACACCTCTCCTACATCTTATTGATGAACTGTCAAATTAACAGTAGATGACAATGTCACCATCAAAGTTGAATCAGGGTCAAAGAAGTGAAGATGGTACAATGCTCGATTTTTCGGACAAACATGAGGGAAAGACAACGGATTTCGTTTTAGTCTACAGGAAAAGTTTATTGACCAACGTTAAACAAGAAAAGCTTGAATATTTTATTTGGCGACTTTCACTTGCGGGGATTATTATTGACGCAGAACGATTTTCGGTAAGAATTCCACGTTAGTTTTCGGCCTGACACAGAAATGGCGCTCCAATCAGCGAAAATTTACAATTCCTGTACATTGTTAATTCGATTTTTGAACTATCTAAGGTTAGTAGAGCTGTGAAAAAGCTTCCTCGGGCAGATTGTTCCACACAGGAGCGGTCGTACTGGCTAGTTTTTGGTGTACGAAGTTTGACACAGTTGGGATAGCAAGCCGAAATCGGGCGGATCTGCCTGGCAGGTTGGCGGCATCATGCAGGAGTAGTTTGAAGAGCAAAGCTCGTTGACATACTACTAACGTACTACTCACATGTTTGGGGTGCTGCCGCCTCGACTACATCATCCATGCGTGATGCTGTTCGTCTGATCGATGACTCTTCTGTAACGGACAGTCTCGGAACCCTTCCGATCTATCCCTCGTCTACCGTTATGTTGACGGGCTTTGCTTCTCAGAGCCCTCCTACATGATGCTGCCACACAATATGCTTGCCAGACAAATCCGCCTGACTTCGGCCCCCCATCCTAACCGTGTCGAACTTCGTACATCCAGAACTGGTCGATACCACTTCTCTGTCCCTAGGGTATCGAGATTGTGGAACGTCTACCTGAGGAGAATTTCCTCAGTTCTACTAACTTTAGACAGTTCAAAAATGGGGTTAACAAAGTTTATTTAAGATGTCCATAGACTGCTACAAAATATTGACGTTTTTGTTTCTGGAACCAATAGTTGCCTGAGGTGCTTTCCAGTGCCTCGTTTGTGTTACTCGGAGGAGAAAAGTGCTATAGAGCTGTGGTCGCAAACCCGTCGATCGCGAGCTATCGGTAGCTCGCAAAGGCAATTCTGGTGGCTCACAACATATTTTAAAAGGCAGTAAAAATCATAAAAGCTTCCGTAAATTTTGTAAATTCTCATAATAAACACAAGCAGCGGCAACACTGCGGTGAGCGATCTGTTCGAGAACGATGTCGATTACCTTGAACGGAATAAATACGCAAGTTGCGGCGACAGTGCCTCAGTTTAAAACTAAACGGCACAAAATCCAGCGGTTGGGTTAGTTGGCCTACAATTTAAAACATTATTAAAGGTAAATATGGATGTTTGTTATGTAATCATCTGTTTCCATTGCTAAAAAAGGGAATATCGGGAGGCACTATAAAACTGTACATTCTAATTTTAAAAATCATTCCTATTACGTTCTGCAACCAGAACAGAAAAACTGAAACAATAAAAAAATCAGTTAACTGGACAACCGACAATGTTTTCAAAAACAATCGACAAAAGTAAGGCTGCAACTGAAGCATCATACCGGGTGTCCCAATAATTACACAAAAAAGGAAACCTTATGAAGACGGGGAAATGATAAAACAGGCGTTTTTAGAAGCTGCAGATTCATTATCTGCCAACTTTAGAAATAAAGACGAGGTAGTGTCTGCTATGAAATCTATGCAACTTTCTGCTAATACAGTGCTGAGACGAGTACAAGTAATGAGCAATGATATAGTTTTACAGTTAAGAAGTTCGATAACTGTGCTTATTTTTCACTGCAGCTGGATGAATCCACAGATGTCATTGACACCTCTTAGATGTCAGGATGGTTTTTAGTGATTTCACGATTAAAGAAGATCTTTTGAAGTTTATTCCACCAAAAGGACAGACTACTGGGCACGGCTTGTTTTCTTCTTTTAAAAACATTATTTCTTCTGAGAAAATTCGAATATCGAAAATGGTAGGCTTGACAATCGATGGCGCTCCAGCTATGGTGGGTCGTGATAAGGGTGTCCTGGGGTTATGTCTTAAAAATGCAAATTTTCCGCAATTTCTCTGTTACCACTGCATTATCCATCAGCCATCATTATGTGGACCTTTTCTAAAACTAAACAACGTTATGAAATTTATAGTAAGAATTGTGAACAAGATTAGAGCTCAAGCGTTACAAAGATTATTCAAAACATTGGCTGATGAAATTGACTGTCAATACGGGGAACTACTTCTTCACTCTGAAGTCCGATGGTTAAGTAGGGGACGAGTACTGGAACGGGTTAATGATATCATATCTGCCATAGTTCAATTTTTCAAACAACGTGATGAACCGATTCCGGAACTATAAAATTCAATCTGTCTTAGATGTATATTATATTATTAACTTCATAAATCGTTTCAACGATTTCAACGAAATTGCTATAGTGGCGCAATTTGTTGTTTCACTCTTCATGGAAATTGATATCCAACAGTTTGAAACTTCTGTTGCGCATAATTTTAGCGAAGACATCGCTGCGACAGAAATGGAAGATTACGTTTCAAAATGATTTAGCTTTAATATCATTAGTCTCAAATATAAAATCTATCTGGCATTAAGTAACGATAAATATTCAGTTTTATGTCGTGTTGTCCTGAAAGTGAAAGCGTTATTTAGTTCAACATATTTGTGTGAATCTTCTTTTTCAAATATTAAGTTTATTAAACACAAATACCGTAATCAACTTACCGATGAAGATTTGTTGGAATAACGTTATCAAATTATACTCCAAATATTAAAAAAACTGTCAGTGAGTCGGGGTGTCAGGCTTCTCATTGAACACGCAATTTTTATTTGGACATGTTTTTGTTTAAAATAGTGCGTTGCTTTTTTTATTTTTAGTTACCTTTATTCAATCGTATGTGACATGCCAGTGTAGCTGACAGAAAATTTTGTTGATGAGCAGTGGAGCGGCTTTCTGGCGGGGATGCTTGAATCAAGTATTCCTATCTGGAAAGTGGCAAAATCGCTCAGAAACGGAAGGCAAGAACAACTACCACATATTCATGGTCCTGGAGGCATAGTTTTCAGGACTGAGGATAAAGTGGAGGTTTTAGCTGACGTCATGGAAAAGCAGTTCTCACCCAATTACGATCTGGACAATGACCTTGACGAGGAACGACAAATTGTAAGATCTGTCAGAAGATACTTCAGAGCGAACGGCGATACCAACATCGATGCTAACATCGGTGACTCCTTTTCAGAAGATTCTTCTACGGAAGACTCTTCAGATGAATCTCAGCATAGCACATTAACGGAATCCTCTGAGATTCCGTTTTGCACACCAGCAGAGCTCCAAGGTCACATTAAGGACCTAAAGGTGCGTAAAGCACCTGGAGAGGATCAAACCACCGACAAAGCACTGAAGTTGCTTTCGCTCAAGGCTTTGACTTATCTGGTGGCAATAATCAATGCAATGATCAGAATTCATTACTTTCCTACGGCGTGGAAGGTCGCTGAAGTCATCATAATCCCAAAAAAGGCAGGTTCGATATTCCCCCAGGATTACCGTCTCATTAGTCTGCTTTCATCTCCTTCTAAGCTCGCTAAAAAGGTGATTTATCGTCTCCTTTTGAATTTCTCGTCAGATCACTATGTGATTCCTGACGTGCAATTCGGCTTTCTGTCTGAGCATAGTACGGAGCTACAGGCAGTTAGACTGGTGGAGCATGGAACCAGGGGGTTCACCCTGAACAAAAGTACTGGTATCTTGCTTTTAGATGTATCAAAGGCATTTGACAAGGTGTGGCACATGGGCCTCTTGTATAAGCTCATCCAAAAGGGTTTTCCATTTTGGCTACTAAAACTGTTGAAGTATTTTCTAAAAGGAACGAAGTTTCGGATCAAATTTAGCAATGTGTTGTCAACAACATGACCCGTAAGATCTAGTGTTCCTCAGGGTTCGGTCTTAGGACCAATCCTTTATTCACTTTATATACATGGCGTCCCTTGCCCCAGCACCTGTGAAGTCTATCTCTATGCTGACGACACTGCATTGCTAGTCCAGTCTTGTTCTGGTAACCTGGTTCACGACAGGCTGCAGAGTGCGGTGGAGGAAGTATTGGAGTGGGTGGATCGGTGGTTGATCAAAATTATTACTTCGAAAACGCAGGCAATCTATTGTACTAAAAAACGTCGCGGTGCCCCCTCAGAGATATCAGTGAATGGAACTCGTATACCATAGGAGCAATCTGTCAGGTATCTTGGAGTCATCATTGACAAGGAGTTGACCTGGCAGAAACATACTGATGTTTTGAAAACAAAATTCCAAATTACCCGGCAGCTTTATCCTTTGTTGTGCAGACATTCAAAATTAAGTTTGATCAACAAGATTTGGTTGTATAAAATGGTCATAAGACCCGCAATCACCTACGCATGTGCGGCTTGGTGTTTTCTTGCCAAGTCGCACATGCAGAGACTGCAAGTCCTGCAAAACAGAACCCTACGTACAATTACTAACGCCCCTTGGTACGTGTCAAATGAGACCATTCACAGAGATCTTGATATCCCATATCTAAGGGATTACGTAAAACAACAGGCGCTCAGTTGCGTGATTCAGTAGACTACACAGTCGAGCAAGTTTGCAAACATTCGAGGCCCCGCCTCGCATTGTGATCACAATTAAATTGTAAATTCAGACCAGCCAAAATTATTTCTGTATACAAAACCGATCAAAATTATTTTTTGGAGTTACAAAATAATTCGAGTAGTCAAAGCAATAATGCTTAAGCTATTTCAAATCATTTACTTCTTTTCTTTGCTCTATTTCTTCCTTTCTTTCTTTCCTTCTTTCCCTTTTACCCATAAAGATGTTTGGTATCTGGGTAGCCAGGCCTGACTAACAGACCGACACTTTGAAATAATTTTGAATATCTACACTAAAATATGAATTCGACATATTTATCGAGAAGCTTTACAACAAAAATGCAGACCGCTGCGCCATCATTCTAAAAGCATCATCAGGCATCAATAGCATAGTCTGACAATGCTCCTAAAAATAAAGGTAAGATGTGTTTCATTTTCATTGTTTGGAAGTGTGATACAAATTGTCAACGTCAAGGCAAAGCATCAACAAACGTCGCCTTCCCATGCGGATTTGCTAGACTAGTTCGGAAGCGTCACACTCCGGGTGCAACCAACTCTCAATTGAAAAGCACTGGAAAGCACCTCTGGTATCCTTTGACACTGCTGACTCTTTAAAGTTAACAATAACGCTCTTGACGTTTCAAGCCCCTATGAACTTTTGATGCAGGTAGTAAGGATCACTTTCTTCAGACTGCGCTCAAAGCAGAGTGCAAGGTAACGTATGCTACTTACACCCCCCGTATGTGATTTACAGGCAGATGCAGACTTGGTGTTTGTGAAGCTGCATGCATCCAATGACGTTGTTTTTAATTACGCTGACGTATGTGATATTGACCTTGCGTGTCGAAACGATGATTATAGACCTGATTATGATACTCCTAAAGGTTTTCTGGCTACGCCTTTGACCCGTCCGAAGACCGATAATGAAGTCTACAAAAGAGCACCGTAAGACACTTTTTTCCACTATTAAACCGAGAAGTCACCATTATCGACCTAATGCTTTATTGAGAAGTCTTCCTAGGTAAATAATGAAAACAAATACACACAGGCACAGAGACTACTACTGTACCCTATTCGTAGTCCATTTACGCCCCGGTACAACAAAGATGCAGCGCGGCAAAGCGGCAGCCGCCTAAGCGATGCAATAGCTATAGGTCATAAAACAATAAGTGCAGGATTCGACAGGATAGAATTCAGGCTCGGGGTATCGCCGGCACGCCGACGCTGGCAGTTGCTGTTCATATTCAGTGCATAGTTAGCGTGTTGTCTACGGATACAGCAGATGAAACTGAGAATATTCTCCCAATGCTTCCTTCAGCCATGCTTCCTATTCAGTGATGTCTCCTCCCAGAAAACGTGACAAGAAGGGACATTTAAATATTCAGACAAAATAAATTGTCCTTAACGTTTATAAGAACGAAATTTTAGAGCATCCTGAAATGAAAATTCATGATATTGAAAGACGTGTGGTGAACAAAACAGGCTTATGTCCGAAGACAATTTTCAACATTGTTAAAGAATATAAACAAAAACAAAAAATTGTCTCCACCAGACAAGAGGCAAGCATTACACGGAGCTGCTGGATATAATTGATAACTTTGATCGGAATGCCATCAGATGCAATATTTTTTTGAAAGGCATGAACTTCCCCCATATACAAAGTTTTACAGAGGTTAATAGTGATGAAGACTTACCTATGACCACATTCTGTAGTTTACTCAAATAACTTCATTTTGAGTATAGAAAACGGGGCAGAAATAGTATTTTGATGGATAGCCAAGATATTATTTTATGGAGAAGAAATTAATTAAAATCCATAAAGAAATACCGCGACCAGGGTAGGAAGATTTATTACTTGGATGAAACCTGGATAAATGGAGGACATACAAAACCTAAAGTATGGGCTGACTCTACAGTTAAATCAGCAAGACGAGCCTTCTAGATGGACCAACCACTGGCCTAAAGAATCCGACATGTACAAATTCGTCATTTGTGTTGTAAAAATGGTGCCAAGTCGACTGAATCTATGAGCCCACGCTGAAAACATTAAAACACTAAGTTCAGCTATATCTGGTGGATTTGGAACCAACATCTGTTACATAATCTGTACTATTATTAGTCTTGAATATTATATGAAATAATTATTTCCAGGAAAAGGAAAATGATTTGTTATATGTCACATCGGCAGTGACATGTGAAAATTTGAATGTTGGTTTGAAGAAACGCTCCCAAAGCTTGACGTCATTATACTTGATAATGTCGCATACCACACTAGAAAACTAGAAGAAATACCCTCAATGTCCACAAGCAGGGCCGTCTTTAGGGTGGAGCGAGTGGAGCGGCCGATCCAGGCCTGGCGCTAACAAAAGTAAAACGTTTTGGTAGAATGCAAATAATATAATAATGTACAGATATACGTGCCTAAAATATCTGTCTGATTACCCTCGCAATATGATGAATTATTGATTAATTACAAAACCCACGAACGAATCTGATAATCCTTCAACACCTGATCCTCAAAACTTTTCAATGTCTACTGAAGCTAAAGGGCTCGTTTTCTAAGTTTGATAAAATCATACAAAAGGGCCCTTTGCAAGTAACTAATTTTAGTTTTCCTAAGAATTCAGAAAAAAAAAACATTTTTCTGCTAGGTATTACAAAAGAGTCATGAGCGACGGAGAAGAGGTGCATTAGTAATGGCTTATGTATAGCAAAACTAGTGACAAGGCGTTTTGTTTTTGTTGTAAATTATTTGGTGACAATACTGGGTCTCAGTTAGGATCAAATAGCAAACCATACAAGCGAAACAACGGCTATTTTTGGGAATGATTAAAATGTTGGTTGGCTACATTCCATCCTGTCATTCAAGAGCATGTTAGGTGAATTAAATCGTCTGAAATTCATGATCACTATTTAGGGACGATCGTTCAAAACGAATTAAATCAGCTGCTATCTGAAAAGGTAAAATCCAAGAATGTTACGGAGTTAAAAGCAGCTAAGTATTTCTCAGTAATGTTACACTGCACACCTGACTTAGCCACAAGGAGAAGTTATCCTTAGTGTTACGATATGTGAAAATTGATCTCTCCAAAATGAAAATGAAGGTGTAAGCATCGAAGAACATTTCCTTGGTTTTTTAGACATTAAGTTAACAACAGAAAAATATCTAGCTGATGTCCTTCTACAAGATGAAATTGGATTAGAAATCAAGGACTGTAGAGGACAAGGATATGATAACGGATTCAACATGAAAGGTATCCAATCTAGAGTACAGGCACGGATCTTGGAAATAAATCCAAAGACGTTTTACATGCCCTGCTCTAGTCACAGCATCAACCTCTTAAATTGTGATGGTGCTAAATGTTCTCTAAGGGTAGTTGAGACAAGAAACCAATGGAATTATCATCAACATATAGTATTAGCACACAAATCCTCACTATGCACCTATGCACTGCCGTTTCGTTCTCGCTATAGTATACAACTTACAGCTTAGACCTCCAATAATGCCATCTTTGAAGCAGATTTTACATCACATCAGAGTAAAAGATTGATAACTGAAGCATCATGACGTTTATGCAACACGTACAACTACAAAACTAGTTCATAACAAATGTCCATCAGGTAGTGCTTGTTGAAAAACCTAAGTACATAATGTCACAAGAAAACCAATATAATGTCAACAAAAAATCGATGTAATGTCACTTTTCAAGACATGTAATACCCGTGCGGTACGGGTACTACGTATCTTAAAAAATGACATTTCGTTGGTTTTGTTGACATTTCGTAGGTTTTTTTACAAGATGCTAACGTAGCTGTTGTACGTACACTTGTTGTCAACTCATTTTGTAGCTGAACGTGTTGCTTGCACACTAAAAACTACCTAGTCTGCAAGATGACATTTCGTCGGTTTTTTCGGCGTTTTTTAGTTTTTTTACATAAAACCGATTCTAATAATTTTGACCCTAAGCAACCCTGAGCTACTACTACGCCAATATAACATGCTGCTACAATGTTTTCAAAAGCAAATTTGTTATGGCCCTCTGTGTAAATGACGCCATTTTTTGATATTCTAGCGAATCTGTTTCAATGGATAGACCAACTGGTATAACATCCGCAGAAAAAATACTGATTATGGTAGAACTGATGAATCGTACAAAGTTTGGACAAAGGCCGAGTGAGTATGGTATCTATAAATTGAAACAGGAAAAAGTATTCATTGATGCTTTCCCAGTTCATGATGGCGAACACAAATGGACGGAAACTGGACGACTGAATGACAGGCAGGTAAAACGAAGTAGACAGATTGTTACTCAGTCAATTACTTAAATATGAGAGATAGTAGATATAATTTGACAGAAGAATACAATGATTCTTAATGACAGAGCTAACTTTAAACTATAACAAAGTTTCATATGTGAATCCCAAGTAAATAAATTGTAAAACTAGCACATGGTAAAGTGCGGTTCACATATTAGAAAGCTTGCCAGGCAATGTCTTCATTGTATACCAAACAGGGAAGGGGGAGGGAGGTAATTTATAGTCGCACACGCCATACAAGAGCCCCAATTTTTGATTTTGACCTTTGATACAAAGTTCAGAGCGTTCCTACAATTCTTCTTGGTTTCAGCTTCTAGCCCGATATTGGGGCAGTACCAAATGCTGGTACAAATGTCAACCACATCACACGATAGAACGTTATTTTGGTACAGAATATGCGTTCTACTTTGCTTGGTTAGGCTTCTACATAAAAATGCTCATCCCAGCAGCAGCATTGGGGCTAATCTGTTTTACCTTTGGACTTTCGACATGTAACTACAAATATTTTAACTATCGAAGGTATGACTTTTCAGATCATAGCTAGGGCGCAATGCATCGTTGTTTTTTTCAAGAGAGTTGACAAGTATCTTTAAGAAGGTAATTCCCAGAATTTCCGATATTTCCAAATTTTCTGAAATTTTCAAAATTTCCAAAATGTTTTAAGTCATTGTTTCTAGAAACGACGCGACCATGCATTGACCTCTAGAGTAACCAAATGTTAAAAATAATCACATTATTTTCAGCCATGAGATATGCAATAGTGACCAAATCATGTGCCCGAAATGTCACCAAGAAGGATGTACCTTCGAACCATTAAGAGCTTCTTGCGGTCTTTCCAAAATGTGCTACATATTCGAAAATCCGACTACGATTGCTCTGGCCATCGCAACTGCATTTTGGTGTAAGTTACACTGGTAGAATTTTAGCCATCCAAGGTTCCTTACTTGTTTTCCCTATACATTCGGTCAAAACATGTAGGTGTATCCTGATTTATGGATTTATTCATATACTCCCCTTCAAAGTAAACACTAGTGTGCGACATTCAAATTTGCGGACTCCTATTGGCCAGAGGGACGAAAGTGCCTGGGTATGCAGTGACAAGTGAATAGAAACGACGATCAAGTTTATTTATTTATACTCTACTCAATAGCAACAGCAACAGAGTGAAACACAGTCTAAACTTCGAAGATACTCAATTATTTCACATTGTAAACAAGAGTAGGTCGTTCAGTCACAAGGATGCTATTGACAAACAGTTTCAAATATCAAATAAGAGTAGATAAGAAAGCAATCTCATTGGCGCAACTATATAGTGGGGGGGGGGGCTAGATAACCGTGTGGGCTAGCTGGTCGAGCTGCTAATCCGACGACTCGAAGGCTCACGGGTTCGAATCTCCGCCTCGGAAGTTAATTTTGAGCCATGACCAAACATTACTTACTTTCTGAAATACAAAAAATGGGGCATTGATTAACTTTTTAATGTACTATATGTACTTTCAAGGCCTCCATACCTGCTAAGACGAGAAGGTACTATAAAAGATCAGTAAAAGTAAGGATAAAGCTGAACTTATATTCTGATGGCTGATTTTTATATATACTCTGAAAACGACACTGTATTTACATCTATCGCATTTTTTGATAAGACATTTAATTTTCACGAATTGGCTATCTAGATACATTTTTGTCATACACTACCTTTTGGGAGAAAAATTGGCTTGAATACTTGAAGTGAAAAACTTCAGCTGATTCTAGTTTATAATATGTTCTGAAACTAATGAAGTTTGACATGACATGAAATTGAATGTAGTGTATTTGGAGAGTGATCCTAGATCACCGTAGCGTTTTGTTCTTATTTAGCCTCGTCATTGGAGTAGAATACCCTGTATCTTGGTAGAAGACATCTTAGATCACTATTTATATATTTATATTAACTATTTATTTATTTTTCGATGTACTCTCCATCCTGAAAATATTACCCCGTTTTTCCGAGTCACCTTATGTCTGCGAAAGGTTGGGTAATCTCGAAACTGGAGATACTACAGACCAAAATATGTGAATTGACCTAAACATACCTTTGTCCTGAAGTTGATAGTTTGCGAGATACAGGGTATCAAAGTTACAATTTTATATTCTATTTTCCTTATTGCTTGAGAAGTATTTCAGATTTTGGCATAAAACTCGGTATAGGGAGGTTTGAGAAACAAGAATCCGTTATTTTTTAACGCCAAACTTCTAGAGTTCACTATTTCGGTAAATAACTTTTGTGTGCTACTTTGCTTGCAATAATTAACCGAAAAATCTTATTTTCTCGTATTTCCACAACAAAAAAGGGGTTACTTGTTAGATGTGTCTAAAGCTAATAGTTTTTGAGACATTTGTTTTTAAAAGTTCCAATGCATTATTTGTACCATAAGTTGACAATAAGTTGTTAAACATCATGGAGTATACGTTTGATGAATATTTTGATATGCATTTGGATTATCAAGATGTAATGCTTTAAAAGCACGAAGATGGTACGCTGACAGATTCCCTAATAGACACCTGCCTAATTCAAAGACTTTCCATAGAATCATCGATCAGCGGTTATGAGAAACTGGTAAGAAATGACTAGAGCCTTATTTTGAGTAGTAAAAACCATTTGGATTTTAGGTAGTTGTGCTCAAAATATGGGCCGACATAGTGGAGCTCGCAGAACTGTACGTTCAGCAGAAGTTGAAGAAAATGTTTTAGATGCTGCTCCATTCAGACCACCTGCAAAAAGTACATGGTTTAAGCGCGGTCGATGAACCCGCAAGGTTTTACTTCGTTAATGTTATTTTCGGACGAAGCAGGATTTGGATGGGATGCGCCCGTTAGCTCGCATTATCTTCAAATATATGCAAACTAAAATCTTCATGTAATAATACAAATCCGCCACCAAGTACAATTTCAAATTAATTTATGGGCTGGAATAATAATTGGACAATATTTAATAGGACCCGTTGAGTTACCACCTAGGTTACATGGACAAAGGTATTTACAATTTCTTGAAGAACAATTACCCACTCTGCTGGAAGATCTTCCATTACAAACACGCATGAATATGTGGGTTATGCACGACGGAGCACCTCCTCATTTTAGTATATTAGTTAGGGAGCACTTAAATAGAGTTTATCCAGACCAGTGGATAGGCCGATCAGGACTTGTATCGTGTCCGGCTAGATCAGCCCTATGGATTTCTTCTGGGGTGATTTAAAGCGACACGTTTACAATGCGCCAGTGGAAACTGTAGATGATCTTACAAAAAAATTTCCATCATAGCCAGGAAATAAAAAATTACATGCAAACGCTTTGGAGAGTGCAGCAAGGATTAGTTCGCCTAGCGTGTATTAGACAAGGTGGTGCTCATTTTGAACCTTTTTTGTAGTTATTACTTCCGTGTATTAGTTTTGTTGCCATCCTCATTTGTTATTGTTAAAAGCCATAGCAACGCTACTAAGATATTATCCAAAGCAACTTGATTATTATGTTATAAAAATGTTTTATCATCATGGTACAAATATTCTCATACTAGAAAATACCGAGTTTTATGCCAAAATCTGAAATAATTCTCAAGCAATAAGGAAAAATAGAAAATTAAATTGTAACTTTGACATTCTGTAGCTCGCAAACTATCAACTTTTGGACTAAGGTATATTTAGGTCAATTCACATATTTTGGTCTATAGTATATCCAGTTTCGAGATTTCCCAACCATTCTCAGTATATAGGGATGAAACGCTTACCAAATAAGTGTACTATTTATACTGCTACATGACGTATTGGATAGGATCTTAATATGATCCTAGTATGATACGGTTTCTTCGCATATGCTAGTGAAAAAAAAGACAGGTACAGATGCTTCCATCATTTTATTCAAACAGTACCCCCCGCTGACAGAACTGCATATGCATATTACAATTTCTTAAAGGAATTCTAAATTTTTTTCGCTCTGGTCAATTGTTTCTAACTTGTTTTTAGGTCATTCTGAACTTCTCTCTAAATATGACTGTGTTGAGTTGAGTTATGAGAGATTTATTATTTGAAAAAGTGTAAAATGTTCCATTTTCGACCTCGAAAAACAATATGAAAAGACGAGAATCTTAATATTGTTAATGCTCCTAATATAAATCCTTGTCTTTTAATTGGGGATCTTCTAGCTTATGTCACGCAACTGTGGAGTAAGCTCATCCAGAATTATGGTGAGGCTCGTGTCGTTGCTCTTGATACCACGAAATTATTGGCATGCTGCTCTTTTATACAAACTTCCATCCTACGGCCTCACGGAGAAGCTTTGCAGATGAGTTGGTTACCTCCTTTCTAGGCGCAAGATATTCGTTCTCCTCTTCATCCCACAACCTCAACGCGGGTGTTTCCCATTGGTCGGTCTTTGCTTCGACATCGTTCCTCTTACATATCAACGATCTCCTTTTCTGTACGATCAATCCAACACAGCTTTGCTGATGCACTCTACATGCAGGAATTCATCTGCCGATCAGCTAGAGAAAAGAAGACTAGTAGCGACTTCCTCTCTGATCAGAGATCTGGAGGTTAACACTGTTTGGGGATGCAACAGTCTACAGTTTAATGCTTCCAAAATTCAGTACTGCAACCTTGACGAAAAAGAAGCGTCCTAACACTCACCCAGTTTGAATGGATCGCATAGTTCTACCAAAAAGCTGTTCATTTCGGCTGATACGAGTCCAGATCTCCGAGGACTTGATCTGGTACGAACAAATCTGCAGCTGCTGTGCCTACTACATTATCCGTGCTCGATGCGGTTCAGAGAACGGCTGTGTGGCTGACCGATAACATTTCTCTAACGAACAGTCTAGGAATCCTTCCCCGCCCACGAGCCGTCGCAATCTAGCTCTCTTCTACCGTTGCGCGAACGGGCCTTGCTCTTCAGACCTCTCTTCCATGATGCCGCCTCGCGATGCGTCTGCTAGATCGACCCGCCTGACTTCGCCCTCCCGTCCTAATCGCGGCACCCATCAGGCGGACAATTTTTTCATAGTCAACTAACTTATCATGTAAAATACTGATTGCCGGTCGACACTCATACGGCGATCCACATGTCGTGGACTTTTTGATTGATTTCCTCGGTAACCACGTCTGCCGGGCGTCCTGGTAGATCCTCATCAAAAACGGAAGTTCGCCCTCGTTTAAATTCATTGAACCAATACCTAACTGTGCTCATAGATGGCGAAGTGCCCCCATAAACAGCATCCAACTTTGCTTTTATCTCCTCGCATTTTTTTCCTTCCAAAACCAAAAAGCGAATTACCGCACGATACTGCTCTTTTTCCATCTTAGCGAAAATCACGAAAAACGTGTTACTCGAATGGCTGCCAAATCTATCTCTGGCCAAATCCAAACTAACCTATCAATCAGTCTAAAATTTGTTGTGCCGTCGTCTGATAGATGGCAGCACACGATGATAACATTAACTTCACCCAGGAGCGCCCTCTGTCGTCAAAATCCAAAAATACTGATCTGAGCCATAAAAACTGTTTTTAAATTTTTTTTGTCGCATTTTTTACCTCTGCGCAACATACAGATTCGTTAAAAAGGCCATAAGACTATGCAAAAAATCGGAATCAGAATATTTCTCCGAGCATCTGCGAAGATACTACCTTGACTACAAGGCTTTAAACCATATGTAGTGTTTGATTTTAGCTACATGTTTCATGGAGTATTGGCAGAGGACTGAAACTGTGCTCGCTCTACGTTGGAACGTGAGGGACTTGGAACTTGATCCTGGCACTAGGTAATAAACAGAAATAGTTAATTTCCCTTTGCGTAAAGAAACATTCTCTATGTTTTGCTGGCTGCCCAAAAGAAACCACACATGTAGAAGTAAAAGCTTACTGTCGTGTGGGTCACTTTGACTTCAAAGTAAAAAATAAACTGTGATAAAGAAAAATAGGCGTCAAGTGCGTTGATTCTTTACTTCCGATGCAACGTCGTCATCAGTCCTTATAAGGATTATGTTGAGCACAAGTTAGATCCTATCGAAATCAGACAGCGCCATAGACATTATAACCTGGACAGAGAATAGTTGCTATACTTACGTTCGTTTCCGAGACCAGGCCTATACTAAGCGGATGAGTTGTCCAAAAGCACGAAACAGCTATCTGTGGTTGGTCTTTGGTAAACAGACTAAAGCAGAATATTAGACCCTTTGAGAAAAAAGTTAGTTACGAACATTTATAGGAGAAAAATTAAACGAATAAGATTATGAACATAATCAGAATATTTTTTCTAAGCAAATGCGAAGAAAATTCCTGGAATCCGTTTTCGTTTTCAGACCACAATATACTGAAGCAGCCACAACACTGAGGTACTCTCCAATAACTAGAAAGATGGAACCATTCGTTAGTACGAAGAAGATGATTGTCGGTTATGTAGTCACAGGATCTTCTATCTTTCTACTGGTAATGTTAAGTCAAAGTGCAGTTATTCCAAGAGAAGACAGACAAGGCGGATTAACTGGAGAGGGATAAGAGATTTGGCACCCGCAAAACAACTGATGGCGTCTAAACACGTGCCATGTTTGTGCTGTTCTTATTTGCTCAAGGAAAAATGTGGGGTTGCCACATAGATAATGCTTTTTGGATGAATTCATTGTGAATGAGTTGTCGTAGAAGCATTTTCCGTTCTTTACTTTTATTTAAGCATTTATTTATAGTGGGTATATTTATCGTCCGTTTGAAGCCTACGAAATAAATTTGTCATTCAATAAAGTTGTACATCACACCTTTCTCGAGTGCTAACTGCATCATTTAAACACAAGTTATCCGCAAAATCAGGAAGTTAACACATAGGTATTTAACTTTTAGGATCCTACGGGGAATATTACACGATATAGTTTATTAACAAAAGAGCTACATCAGCATGGAATTCAATTTTTTCATAAATTTAAATTCCTCTTTTGACCAATTGTCGGTGTATTAAGGCCCTATCATCAGTCGTTCCTACAATTATTGTAGGACGCTTTTATGGCCTGCTTGATTTTCGTAGTTTTCTACTGTTCCATGTCAGCGCTCTATTTTTAGGTTATGTCACAAATATCTATTTGCATCAAATTTTACATGCTTTTGATTTATATCATCTATTTTATCAGCCTGAAGTTTCCTGCAATTCAAAACGCAAACATAAGTTGACAATAGGAGAGCGCTGACGCTGACAGGAATAGTAGAAATCTAGGAATATTCCAGCCTTTCTGAAGACTATATATAAAAATCAAGGAGGCCAAAATGGCATCCTACAATTATAGGAATTACTGACGACACAGTCCTTATACACGGTTGCAATTCTCTAGACAGCCTAACGTTAAGACGATATGTTCACTTATTTCGTATGGCTTTTTGACGTCGCCTCATAGTTTTTAACAATAAAAGGTATTTTTTCCACCTAAGCAATGACCGGTGTAGGAATAATTTCTTGTCATTTCTGACATAACAATAACTCTACTAACAAAACTCAATAAACTCTTGAATGTCATGAATGACAGGAAATTATACATTTTGTTGTTTAGAATTAATGTTTGAGCGTGAATATTTCGAAAACTATGAGGTCTACGTCAAAGTATGTTCATTAAAAAGTATTCAGAATTTCTCGCAGAATACAAATATTGAATAAAATGTATAGCATTCCTCAAGAAAAACAAAGGTTGCAATCAGTTTATGAAAAACTGTAGATTGGCAACATCGCGGATATCATCAACGGATCCGCCGTAAGTTTCAAACCTACAGCTACCAATTTCTAAAAAAATAGATGATTCATTCGTTTGCTGTTCGATGCGTTCCAAACTTTTGTTATAGTCTGTATTATACGATATAAAAGAAAAGTACATAGTCTATTTTTATATGGCTGGACAAATAAAGTTCTTACCTTTCCATCACGTGATCAGTGTATCCCCTGTACACAGTTCCATTTGTAGCGAGAAATAGGTATCTAATCATGGTTACGGGTCACCAAGCATCACCATAATTGATACACCAACTCAACATTCGAATATGAAGCTCCTCGCGAAAATCACAAATGAAACTGAAGAGTTCGAAGCGTCTGTCGCATACTCTCGATCATTCACGAATGAAGTGCCGAGACCGCGAGTTAAATAAACAGTTTGACCTTTTTTATTATTATGTCTAACTGTTTTAAAAGTACCTTTACTACATGAACTAAATTACCTAAACTAATTAAACACTTCAATAAAACAGGTAAATGGTTGGCTATTTTCGACCAAATTAGTTCAATAGTATATCAATTAAACTGGTTTCAGAAAATTCATAATTAAACCTAATGATTTAGTTACTTGGAATAAAATGCATTACGGATAATGAAAATTTACCAGGAAAACTGTTTAATTGATCCCCTTGTTTTCAGTGTGGAATACAAAAGCACTTTCTTTCCGTCCTGACTCACCACTTTTTTGTTTGGTCGCATCCCGGAGAATCTAATCTTTGTAATTTTCAGTGTACAGTGATCCTCTTGGCGGTGATGGCTGTGGTTGTTTACCATGTGGCTACAACGTATTTTATAGTATCTTCTGACATCAGTGACGACTTCAAAGCATTCAACGACACCTTTATCGCACTAACTGGTGCTGGCATATCCGCAATTTTCATACAAGTTTTCACCTTGGTAAGAACATTTTTATTTCCTACGCCATGTCATTTGATTGTTTTTTTGGTTAATTTTCCGCCAAGTTTCCGCTAGTTCCATTTCACATCCACTAGTTTTAATTAAAAAAGTAACAGAAACAGCAGCATTACGGAAGGTACCGGATAAAGAGTTTTTTCATATTCCTTTGGATGCTAAGATAGTGTTGTAAAATTATGAAAAAATAGATCCTCAAATAGTAGTTCAGAATGAAAGTGATCCATATTGTTGTGACGATCATTTTAAAGCAAATATAGAGCTCACTATTATCATTGCAGTTGGAGTTGGAGCAACAGCGGCAGCGTTAGACGGCTGCAGCTTCTGACAGTATTTTGATATAATATGACATCGAAAGATCAAGCCCACCTGATTTGTGCTATTAACTAAAAAGTGTACGGTTATCTCGGTGGATAGATTTAACATTTTTGAAGATTTTTCGATGTTAATCACTACAAAGGCTTTAGCTTTTGGCTACTATTTCATATTTAGTCTTACGAACTTTTCAGCAAAAAATAAACGATTTTTTGCAATAACCAGTTAACAGTTGCAACGAACTGGACATACCCATTTTGAAAGTGTTTTCATCCCTTTCCGAATTCTTCTATAGACATAATAACCTTGAAGTTTGATAAAAAAAGTTACCCAGCTTTTTTTATTTCAAGATGAAGTGCCTTGCATTCACTCTGAAGAATATATAAATCCTTCTGTACAATTTATTATACAACGGGATTCACATTTAGTTAGTTATCCTGATAAAATAAGTTTTGACGTTTCTAGATAATATATTGTGCAGCAGCTTCCTGATTTTTCAATGCAGACTCCACTCCACGTATTTTCGAATTGCACATCTCGTGTTGTGTTTAGTTTATATAAAAGTGACGCGATGTTTAGAATTTAAAAAACGAGTTTTTTCGGACTTCACAACCTTCGAATCCTTCAACTGAACTGTGGACGACGTCTTTTTTTTTTTTTTATTTAATTACCCGCTTCGACCTAAAGGCCATTAGCGGTACGGCTTACATGCTATATTTTATATAATACATTAGTTTGCTGTAGGAAACGTAATAGATTGTTTATGTTGCTATTTGGTGCTAAAATATCACACATGGTTGATGATGTGAGGTTACATTCCACTCTATAGTGCTCTAACAAAGGGCACTGCACTAATATGTGTTTGACACTGAGATGGGTTTCACACACTTCACACATGGGTTCTGGTTCCTGCGTGATGAGATGTCCATGGGTGATCCGGGTGTGACCTAAACGGAGTCGTGTGATGATTGTTTGGTGTTTTCTGTTTGTTGTGTGTGTTGTCCATGGTCCGAATCTGAGTTTCAGTTCAAACAGCTTTGATGTGTTGTTCTCCCAGTTGGTATTCCAGGTTTGAATAGCTCTTTGTTTAAGGTGAGATTTTATATCTGTATCTGGGATGTTTATGGTTGATGTGTGATCCAAGTTTGCTGCTAGTTTAGCTTGATGGTCTGCTTTTTCGTTGCCTTGGATACCAACGTGAGAAGGAGCCCAAACGAATACAACATCATGGTTGTCTGCTTGTAATGAGTGGGGAATCTGCTTAATTTGGTGCACCAGGTGGTTTTTCGTATATATCTGCTCAATAAGCTGAAGCGAGCTTAGAGAATCAGTTATTATGAGGCTTCGTTGGATGTTCTGATTCTGTACGTGTTTCATGGCTTCTAATATTCCATATACGTATAATTCTCCTGTTAGAATTGTTGCTTCGTCTGGTAATTTCATTTTAATGGTAGTAGTGGATGTCACAACAGCTGTTCCTACTCTATTGTCAAGTTTGATGCATCTGTATATATTTTCTCATGGTGTTGGTATTTGTTGACTATTTCCTGGAAATTTTGTACTATTACTGGTGCTGGCCTGTCTGTTTTACTCATTCTTGTGAGAGCTTTGTTGAGGCTTGGCCTCTGCATTGTCCAAGGAGTAATGTCTGCACTAGGTCTGATGGTAGTTGCAGGAATTTGTGCGATATTTAATTTTCTCAAGTAGTCTGAGATTCTTCTGTAAAACGGTTTTTTCTGTGTTGCATTGGAAACGCCCAGCTGGATTCCTCTATTAATCTGTCCTATGTACTTGTGACCATGGATACTTGGATTTGATGCTATTTTAGTGGCATATGTTAAGCTTAGTATCTCCCTTCTGTCATTCAGCGACAGTTCGCCGGCTTCACAATATAAGCTTTGGACTGGTGTTGTTCTAAATGCTCCAAGTACTAAGCGAAGTGCTCTGTGGTGTATGCTATCCAAAGGTTTTAGAGTTGAACGGCTAGCTGAGGCGTAGATTATGCTACCATAGTCTATTTTAGATCTTATCAGTGATCGATATAGGTAGAGCAAGGATTTGCCTTCAGCTCCCCAGTGTCTGTTGGATAAGTATTTTAATACTGTCATTCTTTTTTCACATTTTGTAACTAGGTACTCTATGTGTTTTTTCCAGGTCAATCGATGATCGAATACGAGTCCCAGAAATTTGATTTCTTGTGTTTGCTCTAAGGATATGTTATGAAGCGTTAGTGGTACTCTGAGTTGGATTATCTGTCTTCTTGAGAATATAATATATTTTGTCTTTTCAGGTGAAAATGATAACCCGGAGTGTTTTGTCCATTGTTCCAATTTGTGAATTGTTTTTTGTATGAGTTCTGTATTGGTTGTTGGGTTTTTTCCTCTTATATACACTATCATATCATCCGCATAAAGACGTGCTTGAACTGGTTTTTCAATGTAACTAAGAATGTCGTTGACAGCGATTAAGAACAATGTCGGGCTGATTATTGATCCTTGCGGGATGCCATTTTCTTGTAGTTTGGGTTTGGATAGAACTCCATTCGAACGGACTTGAAAACTCCTATTGCTCAGAAAATTGGATATAAAAGCAACGATATTCCCATCATAACCCCATCCGTGTAATTTTAAGATGATATCATGTCTCCAAATAGTGTCAAATGCTTTAGTCATATCAAAGTATACCGCAAGGCAATGCTGTTTGTTCTCGAAAGCTTCATATATGTATGTTTCCAGGTCTACTGCATTGTCTATGGTGGATCTGTTCTGTCTAAAACCGGACTGCTCCTTAGCTAGTAGATTCGACTTATTTAGGCTCCAT